AGGTCTCTGGGCGGCTTACAGCATTTAACCTAACAGGCAGGTGCGTGCATACAGGCAGCAGGCCCAGTTCCTTGCAGGGAACCCCCCCCCCGCAACAGGAGCAAGGAGGGAGGTGACCCAAGTAGTGGGAAGGGAGCAGGTAATGGGGTTTGTTTTCCTTTTTTATTTTTATCTTTATATATATATATATGTGCAGAATGGCACAGTGGAATCTTGCCTTGAATAAAGTTATATATTTCCAAAAACATAATTCACATTATATTCATGCGAACTAATTATTTCTTTCTCAAGGAATAAACTTGCATTATATATATTTATGTACAGTGGACCTTCGATTTACGGAATTAATCTGTATTGGAACGGTGGCCGCAAGGTGAAAAGTCCGTAGGTTGAGGGTCTATTTCCCATAGGAATGTACTGAAAACCATTTAATCCATTCCAGCCAAAGAAAAAAAAAATCCAGGGCTTCCAAAGCTGCACCCGCTGCCCTCTGCCTTTTGTCCCCATGGGGACGGGAGGCAAAGGGCATCGAGGACAGGAGACAGAGGCCAGTGGGTGCAGCTTTGGAAGCTGCTCCGTGCCCACTGCTGGTTTTCGGTTTCCCGGACTTCCAAACCCCCTCCACTGCACTCTGCCTCCTGTTCCTGGTGCCCTCTGTCCCCTTGTCCCCGTGGGGGCAGGAGGCAGAGGGCAATCGGGATGGGAGACAAGAGGGCAGCGGAGGGGGTTTGGAAGCCCGGGAAACCGAAAGCCAGCAGCGGGCATGGAGGTCGGGGCAGCTTTGAATTTCCCGCCTTTCCTCCCTGTCTTTGGTAGGTCGAAACTCCGGCTGCAAGTCGAACCAAAATTTTGCGGCCGGAGCTTTTTGTACCTCAAAATCTTCGTAATTAGGTACTTTGGTAAGTCGCAATCTCACAGCTGTTTTTTTCTCACCCACAAGGAAACATTCATGCTGACTCCTTTTATGATATCTGGTAGTATATTCTTCTTTCTATTGTTGCTTCTTTCTAGTCAAAAGCGTCCCTTCTTTTATCCTGAGCCTACTGAGAGACACTTGGCGTTTCTGAGGGTCCATTATCTCATTAATTTCACCTGTTGTCTTTCCTTCTAGTACTGTAGCTTTACTCAACAGAAACACTCTTTGTAAAATATAACACCAAAGCAAAACAAAGCTCTGAGGGGGAAAAGGGTTGCCACTTCAGTTTGCTTCACAGAACTGGGTCACAAACTGTACCACGAACCATCCTTGGTTTGTCAGGGCTTTTTTTTCTGGTTTGTAGTTTGGTTCATGTCCATCTCTAGTTGTTATGCAAGGATTTTTATTTTTTATTTTTTTTTTTCAAATAAATGGGGAAAACTGACATTGGGGCTTAGGGATGGATTTGGGGTACAGCTTTACCCATGCCCCAGCATTCTCCCTGAATTTGCTTTGCTCCTCCAGTTGGCCACTCTGAAGGAGACCAGGAAATCTTCAACGAGAAGGTGGGCTGCCTTAGCAGTGGCATCGACTTTCTGGAATCAGTTCCTGTTCAAGCTGTGCCCGGCCTTCTCCTTCCCTCTTTTTAAGAAGCTGCTGAAAATGCTGCTCTTCTGGGAGGCTTTTGAATTCAGCCTCACTTGATTTTTTTAACCTCTTGCCTGCTGCCTTGTTTGAAATGCTGCACCCGCACGGCTTAATGCTGATTCCATGTTTTATGATAGTATCTTCTTATTTTGTTTGTTACCGTATTTTTCCATTTATAAGATGCCCATGTTTATAGGACACCCCCCCCCCTTTTCTAACTCCAAAATTAAGAAAACTTAGCTTTGAGTATCCAGCCTCTGGGCTCAAAATACTGTACTCATACATTCGGAGTCCCTGTTGAATCTGAGCCTACAGGCTCTACCTCCAACGAGGTGTGTTCCAATTGGTTTCTACAGTATCAGCTGATGTCATTCCATAAGGCTCATGATTGGAGGAAGCTAAGTCTCCTGACTGTAGGAAGCTAAGCCTCCTGATTGAAGGAAGCCTGTTTACAGAGGCAAGGTATGTGCTGTTTTGTTCTCCCCTCAGCTATCTCCGCTTACTTCCATGTAAAAGATGCCCCTCAATTTTTAGTGTAATGATTTTAGGAAAAAGAAGCATCTTATACATGAAAAAATATGGTATGTCTTGTATTTTGCATTCTTCTTGTTGGAGTACTCATAGGGATGTATAGAAATTAAATTAAATGAATGAATGAATTAAAGAATGATTTAATAGTAACAAAATATTCATTTTTTAAATATAAAACATCACAGCAAGAAAGCATCCTTTTCACAGATCCGCTTTTGTACAGAATTACAGTTGTCAGAAAGTATGGTATTCTTTATCACACCACACTGGTTTTCTTTCGGAAGCCTGTGGAAGAAAGAAAGAAAAATCTGCAGATCAGAGGTGAAGGCTCTATCATCTACCGTGTTTTTCATAAGAAGAACTAATCGTACCAAATCCCACAATAAGATTGTCACAATATTTGACCACTTCAGTCATGTACCAGTAAGATCAAAACAGGCCAAATGAACAGATTCCTGATCACCTTAATGAGGTGAACTACCATCTCCACCTCCCTCCCTCCACAATATTTTAATCCCGCCCTCCTTCTTAAAAAGAACCCCAGGCTCTTTTCCTATAGTGTTCTTTGGGCTACTGGAAAAAGACCATCAAGTTATACACACTAAGGTAGTAGAAAAAGGGGGGGGGGAAGAAACTTTATAAATATACAAAGGTAATGTAGAGAGATGATGGTAATTGTTTAGGAAAGGGATCTTTGGTTCTGGTGAAAGACAAAGTGAAAATGTGACCTACTATGTTTGCAAATCCAGAAAACAGGAAAAGGAAAGGAAAAGCAAGAAGAGCTATCAAATTGCCAATTTCATAACAACTTCATAAAAGTCTGTGTCCTAAACACAAGTAGAATATTGTGTACAGGCCTGGTTATATCTAAAAAGGGATACTGTTCAGATGGAAAAGTATAGAAAATGATAACCAGAATGGTCAAAAGGATGAATTAATTCCATTATAAGGAAAGGTTTCAGTATTAGTAGCCGTTTAGTTTTTTTAAATAAAGGCAAACCAGGACGGTTCAACCTAGTGTGGCTCTTCTGGCATTCTTGAATGCTTGGTTCATGATATTACTTTGGCACACTCTAGTTTTAGCACTAAAGGGGATGTGAGAAAGGTGAGAAGAGGAAATGGATGATCTCTTCACCTGCAAAGTCTCTCCCCCACCCTGAAAATTTTTCAACATTTCTTGAACAATCAAATCTTTCAAACTATTGGGCCCTGCACTGTTGGCTTTGGGTTTTTCCCCCCACTTTCCAGACACCAGAGGGTTTGATCTGATATGATCAGGGCTCCCCACCACCCCGGCCTGTCTTTCCATGCTTTTTTGTATCTGCTAAAGAGCTGCTTGAACAACAGCTATCGGTTGTTGCTCTCCAGGTGGACTAAACTCAAGTCTTGCATTATCTGGTGGTCGGGAATTATACTGAAATCTATGCCCTGGCAGACTTCCTGTATAACTTGGAATTCTGCAATTATCATAGGGCTTTCATCTTGGTCCATTTTAATGAGCTACCATCTAAGGCAGAGCGTCCCAACGTGGGCGCTGTGGCACCCCAGTGTGCCGACAAGACTCCACAGGTGTGTTGTGGATGAGAGATGATCTCTGCGTGCAAGACAGTGCAGGCTTGCCACTGTGCTAAGCGCTTGAGCAGTGAATGCCCTTGGTTTCCACAACACCGCTCCCCCTCCGTCGGCAGAGTAGCCCTTCTCCCTCACTCCCTGCCCGTTGTTGCTGGTGTTCTGCCCACTGGTCTAGAGGAGGAGGAGAGGAAGC